GGCCAGGAGCCAGCATCAAGCCAGCATCGATGCTTGGGTCATTGCTGGTTGCTTGCATGAGGCAGCTCCTGTGCAGGGTGCAGCAGGTCCCCTGAAAGCTCTGGGCTTTCTGATCATGATGGCTGCCTAGGGTTTATGCTTCTGAAGACACATAGCTGAGAGATGACCCTTTGCCTTCCTGATCCCATGGGGGACTTAGGCTGGGAAGCAGTTTGTCTGCTGGTGCCTACCCAGTCTGGGAAGGGCCCAGCAAACGCTCTCACTTTGCTTTGAGGCTGGGAAATGTGCTAGAGGCTAAAAGGCCTGCTGGATCTTGACTTGGGGTTATTTGATCCTGGGAGCTGTTGTGGCTTAAATATAAACCACCTTGGAAGTTCCAGGAGCACACAGCTGAGGCATGGACATCCCTGGGCTTCTCTCCTGGCATGTGCAGAGGACCAGGCTCCCACAGTCAGTGCATCCTGTTCTCTGAACAGAGACTGGGAGGGGGAAGGTGATGCATGGAGCAGCTTAGCTCTGCTGTGGTCAGTACACATGGGCTTGGGCTCCTCATAGCCTGGGGATGCAGATGCAAAGTGTGCTACCCAGGAGGGAGCTCTTTTACACCCCCCCACACCCTCCCCAGGCAAGGGCATCCTCCCAAATAAAACCACCTTTTGCAAATAAAGCGACAACTTCTGCTTTTCTTCATATGGAGAAGTATATCTGCTCTACATTGTCTCAGCCATAGTCTGCCACCTGACCACAGTGAAACTGGACAGGACTTGGTTCCTGGACTGCTGCTGCCCAGCAGCCTGCATGGCCCATAGTGTGGTCTGTGCTGACCTGAGGTTTGCTGATGCTCCCTGCACACTGCCCCCGCCTGCCCTGCAGACCCTGATGATGATGACAGCAACAAGAAGGTGCCGCTAGGGCCAGTGCCAACAGCTCCCATCTCAGATGAGAAACCAGCTGTGGCCACTGCCTGGGCAATACCCCAGCAAAGAGTGGGTGGTGGCAGTGGGGCCATGAGCTAATGCCCATGGATGCTTGTGTTGCCCCTAGATTTCTGCCCCTCAGGCTGGGTGATCTGCAGGAGTGTCTCATTGCAGAAGACCTGGTTGAACAACCATTATGACTGCACAGGGAAATCCACTTGACTGCTGGTCCAAGGTGACTGGCCACCATGGATGGTGCCAGTACAGAGCAGAGGGGCTGTGGCACCCCAGGAGGATAGGGCTGGGCAGTGCCCCGTGGGGTCAGCAGCAGGAGCATCTCTGGAGGTGCTGGGGTGGGTCTTTGTTTTGCATCATAGCTGAGATTGCAGGGCACCTCCTGCACTCCTGTCCCAGCCTTGCTGTCTCTATCACCCTCCTCCTGTGAAGGTGCTCCCACGACCTGCCCTCTTTAAGTTTGAAGACATTTCCCCTTGTCCTTTTGGTACACGCTGTTAGAACTCACCCTAGGAGATGGGGTACTGAGGTTCTTGTTAGTAGATCCCTAGCGGA